AGTGTGCATGTGGACAGCGTGTGTATGTGTGTGCAAGTCTAAGTCTGTGTAGTGTTGTACCCTCTGCCCCCTCCCACTGGTGTTAATTGATTCTTGGTGTGCTTTGCTGATTGGTGTGAGGACCCCTAGAGGCGGGCCCAGTCTCCGCCGATGCCCCCTCCCCATTGGGGTAGCACCTTGTACTCACAAACACAACAACAACAGCAAAAACACATGTACAGTTATACAGTACGTGCCACGCAGATATTGTGTATGGTATCTCGCTCTTTATTTATATATAAGTGTTCCACATGTGCTAGTTGTGCATGCACACGTGAGAAAAAAACACAAACAGCGACACACTAATGTCTTTCAGGGGGTTTTCACACCCTAGTAAAGAGGAAGCTGGCTCGCTGACATGAGCAGATTGTGGATCATATGAGATGATCCACGTAGGGAAAAAAAATCTGTGTCTTAGAGGTGATTCATGAACAATATAGGTGGGCATAGGTGTGTGCGCGCGTGCGTGTGTGTGCGTGCGTGCATGTGTGTGTGTCAGGGAGAGCGCCAGAAAGACAGTAAGAGAGATGAATCTCCGGTTATTAATTTCCAGCCGCGGCCCCTGGGTGAGATGTTAATATAGGGATGATTGTGACTAATTTCTTATTAATTGCCATCAGCGATTACACAGTGGCCACTAATGTGGCTAATTTGTTGAAATGAATTTGGTTTTCGGAGTCATTTTAATTGCTGCAGGTGGGCAGCATCCTCTGCAAACTGCAGCTTTGGTTTTTTTCCAGCTGGAAACTTTGGAAGTTGTGCTGCTGCTGCATGTGAATCGTAGCCTATTAGTATCCTATTATAGTGTGAATACAGCATATGCCTATTACTGTGATGGCATTTTACGCATATAGGCTACAGTATGTCTGTGCAAATCTGTGTCTGTGGGTCTGCATCTCTGTCTGAAGACGAGCTCACAAACAAATCTGTGTTGTGTCTTTGTAAATACCACTGATATCTTATTCATCAGGTTTATGCTTCCTCCCTCCTCCATATATCTCTACGTGTTCGTGATCATTGCAGTGGGGACAGAGGGACGTTTAAGTTGTTGCCTTTGTTTGTTGAATGTTTATAGCTTCCGTTAGCACAGGCTCAACGACCACTGAGGAACCAGTAGATACAAAATCCAAATCCCCCTATAAAAGAGGAGATGCCCTCTGGGCAGCAATAGCTCATAGTTGGCCTGATTTAGTGGCAGCCAGGAATCTGGGCTTGAATAAAGACAGAGCGAGCGAGGGCAGAGTGGGAGAGAGAGAGAGGGAAAGATAGCTCCCCGCGTGATAAATAGCCCCAGCTCTCTCTATTGCATTAGCCGTCCGGGCCGATAGATTGCGAGCCCAATAGACCCAGACGTATGCGATTGGTTTCTCATATAAAAGTTGCATATTAAATTCCTTCACAGGACTGTGCCCCTCTAGCGTGAAGGAGGGAAGGAAGAAATGGGAGTTAAAAAAGCAGAAAGTGGAGAAAGGAATGGAGGAGAAAGAAAAGGCTTTTTATGAGAGGTGAAGACAAAGGCAGAGAGTTCGGGGAAGCCGGAGAAGAAGGGGAAAGATAATGGCAGGAGAAAAGTAGCTTGATGGTAGGAAAGACAAATGGTGATGTCATGTATTTAATAAGTCCGTGGATATTGGGCGATGAGTGCGACCATACGTCCATTTAATCAGTATTGCCTCCCAATGAAGATTTCTCTCTTGTTTTCACTCACTCCCACCTCCTCCTGCTCTCAGCCGTTCTCCTCATGCTAACGACCTCTCTAATTGTTTCCAGGCTCATTAAGATGCTGATGTTTTAATAGTAATTAATCCGTCATTTGCCTACATGCAAACGTGGGCCGCTGAGGTTTGTTCTACACTGTTTCAATACACTGATAATGCACTAGCCTAGTCAAAGGAGACAACATCCTGCTAATTTAGCTCATCACTGTTAATTGGTTGTTAAGTGCCTTTAATTACCACGCATGCTCTGGGACTTGGGTCGGCAGGAAGAGGGGGATCACCCTGATTGTCGCTGCCGGTTTGATGGATCTTGTTTGAACTTTGAAAACTGAGAGAAAATGACCAAAACGGGTGAAAAGAGACATGCGCTGACCCCGTATCTGTTTTTCTATCCATGCTGTTTTCTCTCTTTCTCTCTATCATTGTTTCCCTTCTTCTCCTCCTTCCTTTCCTCCCTTCCTCCTGTCCCTTCCTCCATCTCTGTCTCACTCCCCATCTCTTTCTCTAGATATTATTAACTCATTAAGTTTTTTTCATTATTTTTAATAAAAGATGAGTTATGGCTTTAGCCTCACTGTGGCAGCATCCCCCCACACCTTTCTCCTCCTCCTCCTCCTCCTCCTCCTCCTCCTCCTCTCTCCCTTCCCCTTCAACCATTTGCTCCCTCCTTCCCTCCATCCCCCCTCCACTCGTTTTTCTCGCTCTCTCCTCGGCCATATTGCGCCTCCTTCGATACGTTTGACCCCTGAACTGCAGTTTCTGACCTCTGTGTTGCCGGTTACAACCTTCTGTCCATCTTCTTCACTTTCGCCTCAGCCTCTCACGTGTATCAATCATCTCTCTTTCTCATAGCGCTGAGCAGTTTTTAGATGACATTCATAAGATTTATGATTCACGATTCTCTTGTTTTCTGTGTGTGTGAGCGAGAGAATGGAGAGAAAGAAAAAGAGAGAAAGAGAGAGACAAAGACGGACAGAGAGAGAGAGTGAGAGTGAGGGAGGAGGCTTGTCGATGACACAGTTGAATAATGACAATATCTATGATTGATAGCTTATACAGAGCGAGACGGGTGTGCGTACTGTGTGTGTGTGTGTGTGTGTGTGTGTGTTACAGTGATAAAAAGAGAGAAAGAGAGTTTATATGTTGTGTTTCCCCCCCACATTAATCTGATGTTAAAGAAGCAGTGATTAATGGTTTTCATGTAGTTTGAGCTGTAAGTGGTCACTCTGGAAAAGAGGGGGAGAGAAAGAAAGTGGCCGGAATTACCAAGGGACACATGATGTTTTTGTAGAAATAGAGAGAGTCGGTCAGATGAAAGCATAATAATTGACTTTTAGTTAGAAAGGACAGTTGTTAACCACACTAGGCTCCAGCCGTGAAAACCCTAAATGAGATATTTACTGCATCTGTCGTCACTGTCTTCACACTGAGGCAGATTTATAAAAACCTTTATAAGGCACTTAATTGGCACATTTGCTTTATTCACTTTCACTTTTATATTAATACAATACGCACATTTCCATGCACGGAAAGAGTTATTCCCTTTCTAACATTCCTACAATAGTGAAGTGGACAAAATCTTCAGCCTCTTTTTGTGCAGGAATGTATTTGACATTGTCTGAGACTTCAGCGGTCTAACTTGAGTGGGTGACTTTCAAAGTTACTCACTGTGGAATCCCTTCTTTGTGTGGGTCTACGATAGGCTTTACTTGCTGGAGAGATGAGTCACCAGGCCCAATAGCTCACCTGTTTAATCTGACCCCCCTATGTACCGAGGCATGAGTCCTCTGCAGCAGCAGCAGGTTTTGTCCAACCCGGCCCATTGCCCACTTTCACTTTTAAATACTGTCCTAACAATAAAGGCACACGATATCTTAAAAACACTCCTCTGTTCAATAATCAGCTCTGCTGGCATCAGAAGACAAGAAGATATCATAAACCTTATTGCTTAGACAGCATTGACAGACTGTAAATGTGACACACTCTGTGACAGTGGTGCCACAATTTTCAGTCCTAACAATTTACTAAACCATGGTGGATCATCATCAGGTGCTTCTGTTGGATGACTGAACACTCGTCATCACTCGCTCAAATCCGAACAGAGTTTAACTGTGACTTGTGAATCTGCCATTGACGGCTGGTGACTGCAGCAAAAACTGGAAATTCACGCTTGTCCATTATGTTGAGCAGACCGAAATGTAAACTAGTTGAATGTTAGTGTGGATATAGCGACGTAATTATTGATTAAAATAGTTTTAGATTCTCTTAAGTGGTAACATTTAGTTCAGCCCCTGCCGTATATGCAGTGTATCATAAGCTACGTAGGGAGTTCATGGGTTACTCACACTTTTTAGTGGAACTTCCTGACGTTTAGCACTACGTGGTCTGTTGGGCACCCCCGCCAGACTCCGAGCTCAGGCGGCTCAAACGCTGTTGTATGGATTCAGTTCATAAGTGATGAGGAAGTGTCCCCATGCATAGTGAATTGAAGACTCCATGCTCTGGGTTAGTTTACGTCTCCAGAGTCGTGTCTTGACCAGAGGTTTGTTGGGGCGCCACCTGTCCGCTGTATTGCGCTCCGCAATTTCTCAGGTGTGTGTGTTGAGTTGTCCACCAAAAAATACCCCCCCATGTTTAATGTCAGTCTTTCCCGTCCATCTCACACTTCAAATTCTACATCCCAGCCCCAAAGTATATAAGTCAACAAATTTCCTAATGGGTCATAACAACCTCTAATGTCTTTCAGTGGAGCCACTCACTGTGAGGCTGTGTAAGGCTGCTTCTTAGAACCGATTGAAGGCAGAGAAATAATCCCCACACTGCAAGATCCATTTTCATCTATAAACTACCCTGGATAAGTGAAAGATAAAACATTACATAGATCTGAAATCAAAAAATGACTAAGCTTGTATGTAAATGCTGTACAAGTGTTTCCGTGTGGTTTAGCAGGTTGTAAAATTCCTCCCATCGCTTGGTTCCATCTGTTACCTGGCGTTGATGTATATTTTTATATACACTTCTGTGTCAGTCCTCAAAGGAAATAGCTTGAAGTATGGAAAAGGTTAATGTGGCAATAGTTTGAGGCGATGTGTGCTGACAGCTGTGATGAATTGTTTCCAATGTACCTGTATATACTCTGAGCCACTGCATCATCCGACATGATAAGCCCTGATCATACATGGTCCATTTTAATACCTTCAAAACATGGTTCCAAATGTTACATTCTCCATAAAAGCTGCTCTTCATTTTTACAATATGGTCATTTTTAGAGGAACAATTCAAGTCTCCGATATTTTACAGTATGATACAATACATACAGTATAGTTGCAGCTTAATGTCATTGAATGAGCAACAGTAAAGTCAAACTCTGGAGGCAGCTACGTTCTTCAAAACCGACTCATGACATTAGCTTGACATATGCCCAACATTCAAATGTCAAACATTTTAACACATTCAAAAAGTCCATTCATCACGTCCGTTCGGTTATCTGATTTTGTGAAACACACATTTGTTTAATTAGAAGTCTGTTTGCTTTGTCAACATTGTGATACTTTGTGTTTCCACTGGGGAGCAGTCTTGAGTCAGTAAAAAAATTGTAGTTCATGAGATTGATGAGCGGCGAGTTAACTGGCTGGTCTCATTCAGTCATCCAGAACTGTTACACTAACCACAGTTAGTTCAGGGGTGTGTCAGGGCCTCACGTCGTCCTGTGCGATGGTCGGATGCAGTGGAATATGTGTCTCTTCCACGTCGAAGCATCTTGGTTTGCCCAGTCCTGGACGGATCGAGTCCGGCTGTATCTGAGCTGCTGATTCTTTCCAATGAGGTGTGGATTCTCTCCTGTTTTTGTTTGCTACAGTGTGGACACAGTGAATGCTAACAGAGAGAGACACACACGAAGAGCATCAAAAGTTTATTGTCGTTGTGTGTGGATTAATTCCTATACTCTTGGTTTGGTGATTAGTCAATTGAATCCGCATTCACATATAAGACAAACATAGAATTGGTATAAGGGGAGTAATGTAATAGGCAAATACTGTTTTTAAAACCCGCAAATCCCATAAATCACAATTTATAGTTTTTGTTGCTAAAGAAACAAATAAACAAAAATGCCAAAACGATCAACTTTTAATGATTCGGTTAATGTAGGAGTAAGTGCGACACTTAAACAAATATTTCAAGAGGCGTTTTAAGGTTCACAATAAAACATGGTTAACAGTAATTCTCTTTTTCGCTCACTGACTTCACTATTAACTGCAAAGAAATACTTCCCTGATTCCTGGTAACATCGTAAAGTTAGACGTAATGTTTCCTTTTCTCTGTGGCAAGGGGATATCTCCTTTTTGTAAAGACACGAATATCTTGTGCATTTTTTCTCAGTTCTTATGACTGCCTAGTTGACATGATGAATAGTTGGTAGTGTTGTGTCGTGTGATGAAATATATACACGCACGCACTACATAAATGAAAAGATAATTGTGTGTCGGCACAGGATGGATTTTTGTGCCAAATGCTACAGAACTGTGTAGCTGCCTTTTCCGTGTGTTGATAGTCAAAAAGAACAAACGTTTGCTGTAGTTTTATTGCTTTAACTAATACCTACTCACCAGACATACATAATAAGCAAAATGATGCATTGATGCTGTTGCTAAAACACGAACAAAGAAACGAGGACAGGATGGGAAAGTGGATAATGTATCTCCTGTGCGCTTAAAGCAGATTTCTTGGCCTAATGTGAATGTTGCCATATGGCCTGATGCACCGTGGATGTCACTGCTAGGATCTGGGTGTCACAGTTCATTTGTTGCAGGGCAGACGTGGTGTGTATGGGGGGGGTGTTAGTATGTATATCTACTTACCTGGTGTGTTATGTGCTTCTGCTGTGGCACTGAAAGCTTCCAAATGGAGGGGCTGTAAATCTACTCTTGGTCCATCTTTGTCTGTCTGGTGTTTTTTTTTTTCTTTTCTCCTCACAGCATCCAGCTCACCAACACAGGCTCAGCACGACCTGAGCACACTAAGAGATGAGAGAAGACACATTTGTGTTTGTATGACTCATTGGATTCTGTATTTTGGGGTAAAACAGAGAAAATATACAATTTATAATTTAGTGCAACTACACACTTGAGTGTTTATTTTCACATCCAAGCAGTTTAATTTATCAGTCAGTGCCTGTTTAGGGTGTTTTTCAGGGTACAGTATGTTCCCTAGGGGATCGAGAATATGTGTTTTGGAGCATTCATTACACAATTTGAATGTGAAACAACATTTTCTGAAGATGTTTTTTTATCTGTCCCTCTGTTAGTTAGCAGAATTACGCAAAAAATACTGGATGGATTATTATAAAAAAGCGGATCCAGATTGGTGATCCAGGAACTTTTTTTCCATTTTCTCTAAAAATGTGAGATGGGGCGTTTTTCTATTATTTAGAGAATCATATATGGATCTTTTTTTGAACAAGGTCTTTTTATTTGAGATTTTCACTATAGCATACATGGATTGAAAAAAAATTATATTACTATAGATATACTGATATTTATGAAATTTGGTGGAGATCCAAATAAAAATCTGGATCTTTACATTCGGTTTCATAAAGGGACTGTTGGGTGGGGATACGCTATCTGAGTGTATACTTTTATTAGATCTGATGATTTGTTGGGCTCATGCATTTCAGTCTCTGCCGTGCAGACAATGTACATGGTGGCTGACAGTTTACCTTTCTTTGCCATTGACATCTGTGGCAGTAGTGCCATTAGTMAACTGGATAGTTGCTGTGTTTGCCCTGCTGTTCATTTCTTGAAGCATGAAGGTCTGATCTGTTAGACCTGCTCTGCACGTGGCGGGAGTGTGACCGCACAGCAACGTCACCTCTGTGAGCTGCTCCCTGCCTTAGATAGAGAGAAAGAAAGGAAATATAAACACTGAAGATACTGGGGATGAGAACATGTGATGAATTCACACTGGTTGCTGTTTTGTTGGATAGACGTCTACTCTTTGATAAAACCAGGTCTGGAAATCATCTTATATTAAGCTCAACATTTACTTGCATACTTGAATCTCTACAGCTTTACCTGCTGTGATAGTGGGAGACGGCTGTCGGCTCCTCCATCCACTGTAAATAGGGCATCGACATCTCAGTAGGTGGGCATATGCTGACCGGAAGTCCCTGTTGAGGGCTCCATAGAGAATAGGGTTAAGGGCTGAGTTGGTGTAACCCAGCCACAACACAATGGAATATTCTGGGACTGAGCTCGGGTCTGGGTGCTCCTTTAGGCCCAGCACTGTGAACAGGATGAAATAAGGCAGCCAGCACACAACGAAAGCCCCTATTACTGCAGCCAGCGTCACTGTGGCTTTGTGTTCCCGCAGAGCCACCGCTGTAACACTGGACACCACTGCGGTGCTGGTGGAGGAATTGCTCCTGCAGTTGTAGTGAGTGATCCAAGTGGGTCGGGCACTGATGATGCGCTTGGCCTGTGCCCGTGCAATGCGGAGTATTTGGAGGTAGGTCCAGCACATAGCCACCAGAGGCAGGTAGAAAGTAAGAAGAGAGTCAGTCAGTGCGTAGGGTCTGTTCAGCTCAAAGCGACATTTGTTCTCCGGAGCCCAGGGCCCACGGTTCTGCACTGTCCCATTCACTGTGTTCCACCCCATGTGAATGGGCAAGAAAGACACGGCCACGGACACTGTCCAGACACTGGCCATGGCCACCGCAACTCTCCATGGCAACACCAGCGAGGCATGCCTGAGAGGCATGGTCACCGCCAGGTAACGGTCCACGCTGATGGCCAGGAGCGTGAGGATGGAGGCGGTGCACAGCATGACGTCCATGGAGATGTAGAAGTTGCAGAAGACAGGGCCGAGCGGCCACTCGTCGTTGAGCTGAAGGAGGGCGGAGAAGGGGAGGACCAAGAGGCCGAGCAGCAGGTCCGTCACAGCCAGCGACACGATGAAGCAGTTAGTGAGGCAGCGGAGGCGTCGAGAGGCGCAGACGGCCAGGCACACCAGCACGTTACCACTGACAGTCAGAAGGATGAGGAGGGACAGGGTGACGCCCAGCATCACTTTTGACCACATTATCGCTGAAGCTTCACTGGAGACGATGAGATGACATCATGGCCGGAGCTTTGTGTGAACCATTATGTTTTCTTCTCAGTTTAAATTAGATAAGGGGTCATACTTTTTACATAGGAGGAATTCACATAATAGGCCTTTAGCTCAAATATAATCTTCACTCAGAGGGTTTCTGTGCTCCCGTATATAAAGTGGTCTCAATGTCTCCATGGTCATACTTAACATAAGATTCCATCCATGGGTGATCTCTCCATTTCTTCTGTCCTAGCCACTTATTTACCTCACCGCTTTTTGTTCTTGTTTGGCCTTGACTCTGAAAACCATGGCTTTCAACTCTCATCTCACTAAACTCCACCAGTTCTCGCACTCTTGACAATATTTATCAAAAAACTCTCGCAACAATCTGGTTGATCAACCTTCGTCTCTTGACAAATGCTGCTACTGAGAACTGAGGATCAGCGCCTTGCTGATGAAACGTCAGCGCTGGCTGTCGAGCAGCATCCTGAGAGAGAGGCTGATTCATAGTGGTCCCATGTCATCACCCTGGCTTCAATACCATCTTCTATGGCTGTGGTGACACCTAGTGGACTGAGAGGAGAAACACAAGTGGTCATACAATTTTTTTTTCTACAGGTCTACATAATGCAAAGCCATACATCAGACCATACAGACCTTACCTACTCTAGTTTTATACTTGTAACATTTTTAAGCCTCTTGATAAATTCTTCTGACTCTTGCTTGTTTTGTGTTTTTGCGCTTATGTTTCATGAGCTGGCTACAGCATAGATGTGGCCTTTGTCCTTCTTTTTGGATTAATACATTCGATTAAATGATGTAATACAGTAATGCTTTGTGTCCAAGGTATTACTGAATAAACTACTGTATCATGAACTGGAAAATAAATTAAAACAAAAAAACCCTGAAGTTGTCAAGGACCCACATTTGTGATAGCTGATAAAACTAATAAATTAGTGACTAGTGACAGATTGATGCAGTTTGGTGGAAACATTTCGACAAAAATCTGCCTTTGGAACAAGAAACTCTCAAGATTTATGTTTTGAGCTGTTTTTTTTTACTCTGATAAGCTTTTAGTGAACTGTGTGATGACATTACATGTCAGTGTATTGACTCATGAACTTCTGTGTGTTTAATCACTCATGAAGTTCAGCTTTTGATCTTAAAGATTGTGTTATTCCGAGACATTTATAGTCCCATGAAATATCTCAAAAGTTAAAATATTTAAACACGAATCAATCCATGTGTAAATCCTAGTATTTAATGAATTTAACACACACACACATGCACGTCTCCATGACTTCAGAGGACATTACATTGACTTGCATTGATTTCATGGACACTTCCTCTAACCTCAACCATAGTCACTACTTGCCTACATGAACAGATTTTGTTCCTCATAACTGGAAATCACACACACAATTATTCAAGTTCTGGCTTTTAAAATTGATGAGTTGTGATACAAAAATTCTTGCACGCATAATCTACGATGGTAAAGAAGTTAATACGGACCGCCATAGTAATAGTTCACAAATTGAATAGAATGTAAATATTTTTAGAAATCTGCTGCAGCTGAGACGATGTTTGTATTGTTAAATTTGATAACATTTTCAGGATGCAATTACAAAAGGCTTTAGAACAATAAAAATGATATATTTCTATATGATATCATTTGTATGTGAGATGGAAATCTTGCGCTGAGTATGTCTGGATGGTGAGAGCTGTTTAGTTAAATATGACCATAGTGTAATAAATACAATAACAATCCATGAATATGTAAAAAGGCTTGTTTGTAAAGTGTTTCTCGTGAAATACTTTATTCTTCGATCCATATCGTTAAAATGTTTGTGTCTTACACAGACCTTGTCGAGAGAGTCAGTGTTATTTGTCCTCTGTGAACTCGTTCATTATTGGCATGAGTTCTCAATGTGTGCCTGGTGGAATGAGGAGAACTACCTGATAAGTCAAAGTGTGGAAAACATGCGTTTGCGTCAGTGGGTGGTGGGTAATGTTTGCTCGTCTATTTTCTAACGCTGTAATGGATGTTGGGACATTTGCCAAACTTGGTCCAGAGCCACTCACTTATCACCTCAAAGTGAGGGAGAGATGTCAAGAGATGGACTCACCAGCTTCGCATGAAGACAAGACAGAGTGACCGCAGAAGATACAACGAAAAATAACTCAGAGATAGAGGTTTTGAGTAAATCGAGGTCCAGGTAACTCAGACTCCCGTCTCTAATCTTCGAACTCTTTCAATCTTCAATTCTTTTATTCTGTGGACACATTTCTGTCACAGCCTCGCTGCTTTGAACTATATCCAGAGCAAACACTGATAGCACAGCCACTAACGTATGAAGTGCAGCTCTCAAATGCTTGCACCGCCTCGGTCTTTCCACGCTAGAGTGACTCCGAGGCCACGGGATTCAACTGTTTTCATCATCAAAATCTGTCTCACTCACTGACACACATGCACGCACACATGCACACGCACACCAGTTGGAATGAAGTTTGGCGTGGATCCAACACGGGTCGGCGAGGAATGTCCACATATGGTCACAGGACAACCTTGTCTTAACCCTGGGACTTAATGTATACAAGTGCATGTGTGTGTGTGTGTGTGTACGGTGTGTGCACGGTGTGTGCACGGTTTGTGTGAGTGTGCAGTCACACACTGTTGTCTGCCCTCTGCTTAATACATTAGTTCCTTTTCCCATGTTGCAGAAAATTTTGTGAGAGCACAACCATATTTGTTTCCTGTGTTTATTTTTACATAAACATTTGTCTTTTAATAAAACCACATTAATATACAACTCTGCCTCACCCCCCCACTTATCCAGAAGCACAAAACCTTTTTTTTTTTATACATGCGAGCATGCAAACGACTCGCGTGATGCACCATGTCGCTCTACAAACTTTCAACATTCAAAAGTCATTCACCTTAATGTTGAGTATGTTAAGTGTTATGCAGCCGTGCAGTAAATACATCGGTCATGTAGAAGTGTGCCACGTTATTTCTGACCATCTGTTTTCTTTCACAAACTTCTCATTAGTTGTTGCTAATGGAAAACGATGGTGAGTGTTACTGCTTCTGTGTATATAAGCTAAGACTCCCATGTGGAGACCTGTACACTTGTAGGGCTATAGTGTTGCTTTTAAATCAGATTTTTATTCATTTGTTTTTAACTATTAAGTCTTGGAAAGATAGGCTTTCTATTATATATACTACCTGAACCAGTAGATTCACTGAAATGTGTATGATAATTAAGATGTGTGCTTTTACATGGATAACATGTTTAATGCTTCCCAGGGCCTCTCTCACTACAAAACTTCACCCTACTTTTTCTCTTTATTTAAAGTTGGTCCAACTGTAAACCCATGATGTTCTTTTCCCTTCACTGTCTGTTATCCATTCTCCTACAACAAGGCCTGGTTTAACAATGTGCATACATTCGTGTTGTGCAAAATCTTCAGACAGTCAACCAGACAGGAAGAGAGAAGTGCACTGCAGCCATTAAAGGGATAGTTCACCCAAAAATGAAAGTTCACTCATCCACATCTTAGCTTCATCTTGTCTCATGTATTAAATTATTGCATGTTGATGTCACAGTTATTGTTTAATACTGTCAGGTTTCTCATCTCGATGGAAATGGCCGCGCACGACCACAGCAACACACAACCCAAAAAAATACTGTGTGTCTTGGTAATGGATTTTCAGGACTGTGATGAGTGCTGAGTTCTGTGTTCTCCACAGGATGTGAAGGTTGCTCTACTTTAAGGAGTTTTCTACAGGAAAAGTGTTGTGTGGTTTTGAGGACAGTGTTTGACGGATTTTTCCCCAGGACTAGTTCTGAATATCTGAGGTGACACTCAGCACCTGGTGGGATGAAACAGGTGATTAACTTTAAGGAGCTCCTCTGTAGCTTCCTCTCCTTGTCTCCGATCTCCCAGCACAAAGAGATGTAAATGGGCTTAATTCTGCCCCACATAGACCTTCTATTAGTCAGTTAATGGCTGGGTGCAAAGAGCCTAATTTGGGTATTGAGATGAAGTGCAGGCAGAAAAGAACTGGTCTGAGCTCAGAGATGAGTAATGAGGTTATTTGCCTCTCAGCTGGGACCCGCTGTCTGAATTGAAAGATGGTCTAAAAAGCAAGTTCCCGTTCTGCGACCTTTTTTTATTTTACCCGCCAGATGTGTCTTTTAAGAAATGGATGAGCCATGTTTGCTCCTCTTCAGCACCATTAGTAGTCACAGTAATCTTGCATATTATAGCAAATTCAAAGTTATGTATTTGTATATGTTTACACAGAGTCTGGGAAATGAGTTCATCCTTCGCTCTCAAGTCACAGAAATATTGAGACGAGGTCTAAATTGCTGGCAGGTGTGAAATTAACCTTTTTATTTGGTTGCTACAGACTAGTCAGGATACTTGAAATAAACTCATTCATTCACTCATTCTTTCTTTCATGCATTCATTCTGTCCTCAGTTGGTGTATCTACCACCTGTTGATCCTAAGATGACGCACCAAACCAGATCGCTTGTCTCTGTGTTCCTGCTGCAATGTCTTTAATGTTGGTCCAAATATTAGACAAATGCAAATGGCAGAGTGGAATTCTAACTACAGGTATTTCGGATAGCTGGGGCTCTTAACTATAGATTTACACACGTAAAGGGAAAGCAAAGGATTTTAAACTGTATAAAATGTATTTAGTGTCGACTGTGACACTGAAAAGGCAGACAGATGATGAAAGCTATTTCAGAGCTACGTAATGTAATCAGACGTTTGAATGCTTCATTTATTCTATTCTAATTCAATTGAGCAGCGAATACTTGGCTCTTTCACTTCCTCTGCTTTTGCAAAATAATCTATAGCTGTCTGCATTTTTGTGAATGTGCCGAGGTCTGCGTGTGTGCGTGCATGCGTGCGTGTGTATGTATGTGTTGGGCTCTGGGTGGATATGAATGTGTGTGTGTGCGCGTGTGCAAGGGTGTGTGCAAGTCTTCCTGTTTGTCTTTGCTTTTGTCCTTGACAGAGAGACCCAGAGAGACACTGGATAGAGAGGGAAGTGGTCTGGGATGGAGGTTGCTTGGTAACCGCTGTGTGTCCTGAGCGGTGGAGGGAAGCTGTGGAATCTTGACAAAGCGTGAAAACAACACACACACACACACCCACACACACTGAGCCACAGACACGTCCGCAGACAGGGGGATCAGACACATAAAATATGTATAGACGCTAACAGCATGCATCGCTGTGACACACACACACATCAACAGACTTGTTTACACAAACAAGTTAAGGTCACTTGGGTGCGATGGATTGCCCTCAATATGTCAGTCTCGCCACGCTTACTTTTATGTCAACAAATCGATGCTCCCGCCCATACCTCAACCTAAGAAGCACTTACATTTACACACACACACACACACACACACACACACACACACACACACACACACACACACACACACACACACACAGACTCAACACTTTTCCTGTCATATTTCACAGTTGCACTTTTCTGAACTGCTCATACGGTTCCCTGACCAAGTCATGACACCAAACCACATCCTGTCTCAACACATTGCGGCTGCTCCTGCTGATCCACTGTGTTGTGTTATCCTCTCAGATAAAGATGTGTAAATCATGATTTGCTACATTTTATTGGTCGTAAATGAAATAAATTAGGATATTACCATCATGTTGTAGTGGTTTATGGTGTTCTTGTCCAGGTAAATCACAGCAACCAACAGAAAACAAGGCTGCAGCAGTGAAAGTTGAATGTATTTTAAAAATTAAAATTATAACTTTATCGACATAAAAGCCAAGGACATTTTGTTCAGGGAGGCCAAACCCCAAAATACATCACAGGGATGATTTCACTCTAATGAACTATTCATACTCTATACACTCTTCTTTTGTGTGTAAGAAAATAAAAGGAAACAAGATATTACTAGCTCTTGGTCAAACAACATGGAAAATCACACTTAATGTGAGATAGTGGAAAGGTGAAGTTAAAATGTAGAATTAGAAGATAAGAAACAACTGTAGCATTAAACCCACACACACGTACACACACAAATCATGTGTATCTTTGTGAGGAAGCTCATTAACATAATGTTCTCCCTCTACCATGTCCTCACTAGGGTCTATGCTTAAAATGGTCCTCACAAATGTGTAAGTACAGGAACAAACACACGCAGACACGCACATGCCCACGCACAAACGCAGAAAATAATCTCACTTCCTCATTTTCTGGACTGATTAAATGACCCCTCTGTGTATTTGTCATTGTGCATAGTTGAAATGCTCGCACAGGATCAGACTCTGGACTCTCTCCACAACCACAAACAAATTAGTTATATTATTACACAAATCCCAAACATGAGAGAAATTCAGAGCAGCAACTTTTGATCCTCTGAGCCGCTCAACACACACACACACACACACACACACACACACACACGCTTCTTTCACGTCCTTTACTTTTCATATTTACATGGAAATTGTGACTCATAAAATAGATTCAACAGAGGCTGAAACTGACACCTGCATGATTAAAGTATATTTTTATAGATATAAATCTGACAAATATTCAATTACTCAAATTCCCCCCATGACTATTCTCTGTAACATTCTTGCTTGGCTGATGAAATGTGCAGCAGTAAATCCGGAGTCAAATTTGATGATGCTCTTATGCTACAAATTTACAGCTGGACTGATAATGTTTTCACACACACAACTCATGGGAAGGTAAAACATATTATATATTTTTGAATGTACGTAAAGTAAGAATTGATCAACTCACCTCAGGGCTGCTTCTCTCCTTGTGTGACGACTGCCCCCGCCGCTCTGCTCTGCTCTGCTCCCGGAGTGACGACAGAAACAGTCTCGCTCACCAAGTGTGTTTGTGTGTCTAATGAGTGTGTGTGTGGGGTGAGAGAGAGAGAGAGAGAGATCCACTGAATCACAAAGCTCTCTCTTTCTTTCACTCTCTGTGTGACTCCTATTATTCTTCTCTTTCTCTTTGCTTGTAATTTGCTTTTGAAATTATTTTAATAGCTCAGTTCTCTTATCATGCCGTCTAACTTGCATGTGCCAGCGGCGGCGATAAAGTGGGTTCTACTCAACAAACACTGGCCTTTGGAGACGGGGCCTGTATTACCTGAATAATCCAAGCAACCAGTTGCATTCAGGCCTAATGGAATTGCTGGCAAATACGTCTGCTGTGTAGTGAGGAGAGACGTGGGAGGGAACGGCTTTTCATGCAGGCATCTTTCTTTTTTACTTTTTGTCTTTAAGATTTTTGTTTCTCATGCACACACGCATGCCTCCGCTCTGTTTACACTTTAATAACTCAGGGTTTTTTCTGATGGCTGCCTGGACGACTTTGGAGGTAAATCTATGAGAACTGGCACCAGACTGATAGGAGTGATGTCAGTGACCCCGATGGGTCACAAGGAGTTATAAATCCATCTCTATTTGTGGTGCAGTCTTTAACTCAGCCTTTGTATCTATTTTCATGTGACCTGGCCGACCCCGCATGTGGCTTCTCTTTCCTTTCCAGCGTCAATTTATCGTCTGGCCTTCAGGCAACATTCATAAGTCATTATCACTTCTCTTTTCATGCCTTTTGTTCATTTTCGCCTCCCTTTTCCTTATCGTTCTCATTCTGTCTTTGGCTCTGTCTCAGTTTCCAGAGCCCTTGTTAATATCTTAATCTTTGTCTCTCTTAGTGCTTTCCTCTCGACTGTCCCTCTGCCTGCTGCCTCTTTTTATTCCCTCGTCTGTATGTTGCTTCATCTTTTACTCCATTTTACGTTATTTCTTTCTACACACCTTCAAGCTCCACCCTAATTTCTCCTTGTCAGTCACAGCAACAATGGCCCAGTTTTGTTCCACCAGTGATAACGTATCTCTCTTTATCATTTCTTTGTTCTGTCCTCGTCTCCTGTTTCCTACATCTGCCTGTCTTTCTCCCGCCCTCACTTTCTAATTCACATTAATTCTATGACTGAATTTCTGCTTGTCTCGTGCACACACTGAACTTGTTAACGTTTCTGGGCTCACCTCTCAGTCTTTGTTAAACTCAGTGTGTTGACACGCCCTCCCTCTTGTTCCCATAACAACAGAATATCTTCTGAGGTTTCTGAGCTGGTGGAGGATACCTGCCATCACTGAGTCCATGTCTTCTGTGTGGATATAGCTTTTCTTAAGGCTTAGCTGCCTTTGGGCCCCTGTGTGAAATAGTCAGTTGGCAGTGGTAGCTCACATGCCTTTGGCATTTGAATATAAATTGTTTATATATGAAGTTTAATTGTAGCCAGTCTAGGTCAAGAGTGTGTTTTTAAAATATTTATCATGTCTCGCTAAGATAAGCTGAAGTCATTCCAGGAGAATAAATCAAAAATTGAAAAATGATTTAGGACTCTACCCCCCTCTTTTGGATTTGCAAAGAAATGACATCATCTCTCATGGACTCAGTCATTTGTCGATTCAAATTCAAAGTGACACATCAGATGGAGAGAATAAAGCCATCGAAAGAAAAAACGTTTTAAAGAAAAACTGACGAAATGGAGTTTTATACTAGTAAATACATTTTTATTAACGGAAACAAATCTAAGATAAAATTTTATTGCACAAAACACCAAAATGTCATCTACTTGATAAGAATGTCGAATGCAGCATCACTCAACCATAACTAGAATTTCCAATCCAGCAGATATTGGGCGCACAGTGGGATTACAGGTCACCAGGCTATCACAGAGCTGACAGAAGCCGTTTTCAGACACGAACTCCGGAGGACGTCCGCAGCATTTGCCTGTCACACATGAACAAAACGGGAGGTTCTGTGCTCAGACGCATTCACAACAACACAGACATGTCTGCAGTGTTCAGGGGAGGGGTGGCGCAGCAGGCAGAGACAGGCTGTTACAGATTAATTCTACTACAGAAATCCCATTTTTGTTTACATCGCATTGACACTGTTTTCTACGTGTGTGGCGGTTTTTTTTTTGCACTTGTTGTGAATCCTGTGGAGGATCTTCTGCTGTGTTGTCACACTCGGACATTCTGCTGACTTTTTACCTTGGGGGCAGGCCAGAGAAACTTCAGAAAGCATATCTTAAAGTAGCTAAATAGACAAACTGTCTGTTAGGACTGACAGACTATTTTTAGATAAGTGTTTGGATGCTAAATATACTCTCCCATTAATGATACAGTAAAAGAAATGTAAAAATATTTTCTGTCGATAATTACAGTCATGGAAGCAGCCGGTGATATTTAAAAAGGCCCAGACTGTTATGATGCTTGTTGTGTTGATGATGTTCTCAGAATTAGAAGCTGATCAGATATGAATACCTTCCTTATAAAGAATTCGTGAAAACAAGTAAATTCTGGGACAAATCGACGCCTCCTCATTTCATATTTTCTCTTCCTGCTGCTTGAGCTTCTGGTGCGTTTGTGCTCAGTGAAGAAGCACCCACAGATTATGAGGTACTCTCAAAGAGACGACAAATTGCTGCAAACAGGATCGCAGCTGCTGCATCTTCATGTGTTTCCCAACTCCACAAGTAGAAAGAGGAGATATGTAATCATTTACATTTTTTTCTTGAATCTAAAACAGAATATAAAAACACACACACCTGCACACTTATGGAGTTAATGGACAGTTCTTGCAGACACTTTACTGAGGTCCTGAGGTTTAACAACATTACGCTGTGTGGAATAAGCTTCTCATTTTATTCAGATTTGAGAAGAGATCACAGATGCTTTATTTCAGGTTTTGTTAACATATAAAAGAAAATGGTAGAATTTATTTTCTCCATAGTTGGACTAATGAAAAAATACATCTGTGTTTTAACAACATAAGTAACTTTACATACTTAAGATATCACTTTTTATCCTTTTGTGTAGCTGCTGTTGATGTTTTTCAGCTCACTTATCAATCACATTAAGTCATCCGTTAGATCAGATGAAAAAAATGGAAACTGCACACACTACACAGGCCTGCGGGTGCTATAAAACTCCACCTTGTTGAACTCACCCACTTCCCCTTACCGTCTGAAGGCAGGAAGAGAGGAGAGACAGAAGAGGAAGAGATGCAAAGGGGGATGGGCTTAGTGTTTTCATTTTAAGTTAGAGAAAAGCAGAAGTAAGAAGTTTAGCGAAAAGTGATAGCAAAAGAATTGGAGGAGAATCCGAGAGAGAGAAAGGTAGGTGAGGGACTACGTGAGCCATGGCTCCTTGGACGAGGACCACCACAGAGCGGTATGGTGTCGGTAAGTCATTATGCGCCCACATGTGTGTGACTGTGTATAAATGCATATACATGTTACTCTAGTGTCTGTTGAAGTGAGATGGCAAACTAAGATACGGATAAGAAAAATGGATGTCCATCACTTCCTGCTTGACAGGATGTGAGCAGGTGCTCAT